AATGGGAACAATGCTTGACATCAGCCCGCAACTGACGGACAATGTAATAAGTGTTGGGTGAAAAGGTCAGGAGGACTCTCCCTAGTTCAGTGGATTAAGCACGCGGATTTACATTGGTGGAATTAGCGTGCCACTGATGTGATTTAACTGAATCGCAATAAAGTATAGTAAATATTCGGTCATTTCTGGAAGGCCCATCTGAAAAAGTTGCAAAGAATGCACAGTGCAATAGACCTTTCACTTACGATATCAAGGAGGGCCCCGTTATAACGCTGCTAAAAGCCATATTTCCTTCAGCAGGAACTCTGGTATAAGGAAATCGAGTGCGTTGGAATTAGTCATCACGTTATCTGCAAATGGGGAAAGAATGTGAAAGCCTAGGAGTAAATTATTTTGCCAGATTCCTGATTATGACCGAGTTAGATTTCATTTTTTACGTTTGTGGCAATTTTGCCACAGTAATTACAACCAGGAAAATCCTATGATCAGAGACAAAACGCCTTTTATAGTAGATATGAATGACAAAAATCGGACTTTTCTGCATTCAATTTACTGCACCGCTAATCCTCCTGGAGTCAGTAGGTACTGCAATGGACGGATTAATTAACAGAAGTCTGGAGACTTGTTTGCCAGATGCGCCTTTCATTATAGGCTTTTCCTGGTTGACATTCGCTGTTATGCCTTCATTATTAGCTATTTCAATTCAGGTATCAGGGACTGTTGACTTGTCTTTAGGGATTTCATTTCAGACAAATGACGCTGTCGACATTTCGCAGCGTTTTACTCGCAATGATAGTGCTTGGATTGTTGCATATACTTCTCTTTTAACGTATATCGTCGAAGGATGCATTGTTCTTTCGAGTGAAAAAGACAGTCAACGTCAGTCCTCCTACACCTTTCTACACTACTTTTCTTCTAAATGTTCGACTCTCACGATCGTTTACAAAGAAGTGGATTTCACCCTGATAGTCAAGGCCCTAGCTCATCCATTGTGATGTAACGTAGTTCCCCATAGTACATTAATGATACTGTGTGTTTGGCGCAGCCAACTAATGTTGTGTTAAAAAGGAACTGGAAAATAGTCAGTTGGCGGAACATGCTCGACGTGATTATATTTGCGGTACACAAAAGTTTGCCGAGGACAAAAGAGTTACTGAGGATATTGGAATTTTTTGTGTTGACATAAGTGTTCGCCTCACAGTAACTTAGGAGGCTTATCACATTCGATTCAGTTATAGGAACCACAGTTCTCAAAAACATACCCACCTTTGCTACCGCAGTCAACGGTATGCGTCTGTGATGCAATGTTCACTGAGAGGTTTGACTATTAAACTGCCACCACTGTATTCAACAGACTTTAAATACATTATATCTTTATATGTAGAGTAGATGTGCTAACTCATGAAATGTCAACCAAAATTTCGAAAAGCGTTCTCATGAGTCGCGATACCGTCTTTCGAAATAATGTCCCGTTGTGCGGAGTACGTGTGTTTATTCATTTTTGTTTACGCGCCGATTATGCTAACCAGAGATTGAATTCTATTCAACTCACCACCAACCTCAAAACCAACGCTCGCTCTTTTCCCCTCACGAAAGGATTTCGCCTTTACTATACGTGGACGAGTGGCCAGGTTGCTCTAGCCACGACATTATCGAAACCGGATCCCTAAACTATGCAGGTCGGCCAGGTCTGAATTTGTCATCGTCAGCAACGACGTATACGTCTCGGGTGCGAGCATTTTTGCGGTTTTAATGTTTAAGGAACGTGATGCCGAGAAAAGAATAAATTCATTATCACAAGGGTGAATTTCTTTAAACACATTTTAAGACCTCGATTTCATGCATGTAACTCAAATGCCTTCGGATATACAAATACAGTGTGCCCTAAAAGGCAGTATGAAATTTTAGTAAACTTGCGAGACTTACACGTGAAACTAGGCTTGTTCATATTTTTTATCATTGACCTGGGAGCGTTTGCGTTTTTAGTCACTATACATTTCATCACATTTCAAGACCTTGAAGATTAACCTATACCTCCAAATGGGCGCCACCGATTTTGACAAACTTTAGCTACCCACTGACACAGAATCCATCCGACGTCTTTTAACATCTCTTCCCCCACCTCCCTGTAGGATTTGAGGATAGATAGCAGCGCTTAATGGCACACATTCGATGAAGCCACTACGATCGTTCCATCGATCAGGAAACTTGGTGTTCAGTTAATCATTTAATAGCACAGAAATATGAGGAGGGTGTCCGCTTTGTGGAGCGAAGTCATTAGTAAGGTCACTTCTCGTCTGAGGGTCTGGATTATCACTTCCCCATAATTTCCGGTTAATCTTCTTCTTTAACTATAGGTAGCATTTTCGAAAGCATGTCGATAGAAAGATGGCCTGCTCATCCCCGTTTTGGTATCGCACATCAAACTATCAGCCTCACGGAGTGTCGCTCATCCTCCAGAATTATCAATGGGTTTGGTTTTCCCAAAATTGGACGACCGTTTCGGCTTACTTGATCAGAAGATTAAAAGATCGACCCGTTGCTGCAATATAAGTTTTCCAAGAGATGACGATCGTCTTGGTAATAATGGAGGAAAGATTTACGCATTTTCTTGCAAAAATCATAATCGGCCGCTTAAAACGTCCGACGAGATGGAAGTAGGTACAGGTAGAGTTATATCGCCCTCCGAGGCATCCGCTGAATGGACAGCTTGTCGATGCTGAACTCAAGTGCAGTTCTCCGAATGGAAGTTCGCTGGCTTTAAACAAACGCCTACGCCAGGAGTTCAGGATTCTCTTCAAAAGTGGTATAATCGGGCCTTCGTCAGCCTACTAGTCAAGAATAGATTCTGTGTTCAAACATTTGTCATGAATATTGTAAATTGTGCTACCTGTTGGAGCGGTGTGACGACCATGATCCTTCCCAGGCTGATGACGATTTGCGAGCGGAGACTGAAATTTCCTTGACAAGAAGCAGTTTTTCAATACTCCTCGAACGCCAGCTGACAAGGTGTGGGCAGGGTAATGATATTTATTTAAAAACTACAAAGCCTCAACCATTGAAAGCTGATAGACACACGTCTTTCCGAATAATACCTGGAAAGAGCGGAAAGACGAACATGTATGCGGCCTTTTAGGACGCCTTTTGCGACAAATATTGACATATTTTTGAAGTACCAAATGCCAGCATGCATCAAAGAACGCTACCTGAAACACTATTTTATATTTTGACATCCTCAACATGTCGGATGACAATGTTCTTTTGATACTCACTGGTTCGAACGTTCGTATAGAGGCACCGCATTTTAACTACCTTTGAAATATCAGAAGTAAGACTGGACGTTTCGATGGGGACGGTGAATAACATGTTACTCGGATTGCGTTATTACGGAGGAGACAGAATAGATCGTCAACTACGCTTTTATGTCCCGTGATCTGCCTTCTTGGCAGCCTAATTATAGCTTATGTGGAGATCTCACGAGACACCGAACTCCCACCCACCGTGTTGCCCATGACGAGTACTCGCCAGGTGGGTAAATGCCGTTGTTGTGTCTGTCCGGATTACCGCATTCAAATGTCACAGGAAGGCAAACTTGACGTCACCCACAGAAAATGACCTTGAATAAGAACAATTTAAAAAGTACTTTTAAATGTGCCTTCTTCCTCCCTGCAAAGTGAAAGGGAATGTTGAAAAATTAGAGGTAGTTAAAAAGCGTTGCCGTCTTTGAAAGCCTTTTTTATGTCACGAGACCATCAACACAAATTTGTGCAACAGTAACGGAAGTAACGTATTGGGCATCACATTGTTCATCTGCATTTTTGTTAACCAGGTCTAATCTGAGATATAAGCCGCAAAAACCATGGCTGAAACATTTAACTAATCAGCAAAGTAGATGAGAACTTACATTTCGTTTCTTATCTGCATGTTACAGTGTGTGCTTATATAGCAAGTTGGCCTGCTGCAAATAGTTCGATATGGCTATTTAAGACAATGCCTTCTATGCAGTTAGGCTAAACGTATGCTGTTCCTCCCGTCGCTTCCAAATTTTTGGTCGCCAAATATGGTGCACTCTGGAGACAGCAAAAGTACACCTCCTCCATGAATGATTTCTTTCATTAAATGCTGCATTAATTTTTCGGCCTATATTACATAGCATAAGTCACGCATGTTTCTGTTGCACATGGAATCGGCCACCCACTCTCCCCCCCTCCCCGATGATTTGCGGAATTCAACAAACTAGGCATCTTCTAAGAGGGGTGAAGTTGCAATTATAAATTATTTATAAATATTTTTATCTACAAACTTAAGAATAGCATTCCTCGCCAAAAACCACAATTTTAGAAAGCGATTACATAACAGGTTGCCACGTTATCCCTAATGGTTTAGTCAATGTGAGTTTTAGACATAGAATCAAGCTTTTCTTACCCTCAGACGTTTCCCCTCGCGTTGTACCCTGTTCCTTTCATGCAGGATGGCCTTCACTTAGAATGGTAGTTTATAGTCTCAGGTGTCAGTAGATCCAAAGCTCTTCAGAATGGTGCACCGGTTTTCCACAGCACAGCAAATGGGGACTCGAACCCAAATTTCGTGGAAAGTGATATTGGGAAAACGGTAAGAAGGAGCCATTAGCCCCGACTCCCCATCCTGGGAGAAGGACCTAGTTATCTGTTCACTTGATAACCTTCCAAACTATGGTTTTAGCACACCGCAATAATTTAAAAGAGCACCAGGTTGTTTATAGCAAAGCATATACGTTGAATGCTGTAGGAACGAAGCTTTGAGAGTCGAAATCACTCCGCGCGCTCCCCGATACCAGACCACTCTCGGAGCCAGTCAGTCATTTGATGCTAGGATTGATCCAAAGTGACTGAGAGAGCTAGGCAGATCGTCTCCGCATACCACATACGACCAACGAGGCCGATGAGTAAACTAAAGGAGCAATTACTATGAGGACAGTTTGGGATCAAGTCTGCATTACTGGTGGTAAAAGTGGTGGATAGTCAGTCGCCGAGAGCTTCCTCATTGAAGTGGGGGATAGTAGTCGTCATCGCAGTAGTTTTAACGCTGTTGGTGATGTTGGTGAGAAAAGACAGCATGTACATCCCCGTGGTGGTGGTGGTGGTCGTCGTTGTTGTAGTCGTAGACGTCGCGGGATTAGCAAAAATTGCGGCAGTGACGACGTTTTTAGGGCGTCGGCTCCATGACTGGAAGATGGAAGGGGTCACGGGCAATGGAACCGTCTCAGGATATATGCAGTAACCAGTGGAGTGAAACAGGGCTGCCTACTCGCCCCTATTCTTTTCAGCCTCATGTTCTCCGCCATGCTGATGGACCCCTAACCTGATGAGTGCCAGGGGATCCGCATCGCCTACAGAGCCGACGGCTGTCTTGTCAGCGGCCGGCGCATAAAGGCCTCTCGCGTATCTCTACGACTACTATCTATGATCTGCCTTTCGCAGACTTCTGCGAGCCCAGCACAGTGACAGAAACAGTCATGCGACGGAGCATGGTAGTCATGCACCAACCGCCACCCAATGCTGCATATAGTGCTCCACGAATTCACCTCAGCGGCATATAACTTAAAACCATAGACAACCTTGCCTACTTAGGCAGCAGGCCTTCACGATACATGAAAATCATCGATGAAGTGTCACACCAGATTTCCAAAATCAGCAGTGGCCTTAAGCAGGCTGCAAAAATCCGTATGGAGTCGCCACGGTCTCCACTTCAACAGCAAACTGAAGACATGCAAGGCCACTCTCTTGATGGTGTAGCTGTGCGTTGCGGAGGCCTATATGGTTAAATGCAAACAGGCGCGGAAACTCCGTCACCCCCACTTCGATAAACTCCGATGTATAATAAATGAATCTGGGGTGGTAGGTCAGAATCCCGAATACAAAAAGTTTACAACGGCGTGGAATCCCCAGCATCCACGCCACGCTAAGGCAACCACGACTACGATGGCGTGGTAAACTCGTAATAATAGAATACGGGGGTATGCCAAAAGCAACTCTTCGCTGGAAATGATTTCGCGGCTTCTCTCCGACAAGGAGATCAAATCGACTGCTTCTAAGCCACCTTAAACAATTCCTTGAAGCGATTACAAATTAACCCGAAGACCGGGGAAGACCTTCTACAAAGCCAGCCAGCGTTGAAAAGAGCAGTGAAAACTGGCGCACCTATTTATGAACCCAAAGTATCATCGTTATCAAGGCCAAACGGAATTTCGCAGGTGTCAGGCGCTACTAACCCGTAACGCCAACCTCTCTCAACCCCTCTCACCTTGCCTGCGCTGTCAACGAACATTCCGTGCACTCCACGCATCGGCCTGATCGGCCACTTGCGAACCAGTCGCATCGCGACCGGCGCGCCAGTGCTAGAAGCCACACATAAACTCGCCGCATCGGACTTCATTGCTTACACTGCCCACGCACATTCGTACACCGCATGGGCTTATTCGGTCACATTCGTATCCACAACAACGTGCTTCATCGCAGTGTTAACAAACTTAACGCAACTTGCATATCCACAAATTCTCCCTTCATTAACCTGATCAACTCCCCATCAGCCAGCGCGCCCACCACAACGACAACCGGCCTACATTCCCACCACACGTTAATCTCACGCATGGGTCTGGTCGGTCATTTACGAATACATCGCACAGTGACTAGCGAACCAGCTGCTGGAACACCAACATATGCCAGACTCCATCGCCTCAGTTGTCCGCATTGCCTTCGCAAATTCGGCCACCACATGGGCCTATTCGGTCACATGAGAACCTGCGCCTAATCGCCGCAAACGTGACCATTACGCCATTACCAATAGAAGCGAAGAGACGAGTCCCAGAAAGTAGTCTTGGAGAGGGAGACACGATCGCTGAGACAAGAGTTTTATTAGCCTGACGTTTCGGGTTCCTGCTCCAACCCATCATCAGAGACGACAGCAGACACAAGTCTGCTGCTGTCTGTTGTTGTCTCTGATGATGGGTTGGAGCAGGAACCCGAAACGTCAGGCTAATAAAGCTCTTGTCCCAGCTATCGTGTCTCCTTCTTCAAAATTACGCCATTGGTACATGCCTCGCACGCGAGCACCCCCAAACATCCTACACCGCCAGCATTTCTCACGCAAATGGGAGGTGTGCACTTTGTGCTTCTTTTCCGTGCGGATGCTTGTCTGCATGTGAGATCCAATTGTTTTCCCCACTCGTGTACGAAGTTCTTTTGTCTTTGTGGGGGAGATCGTGTGTTACACGCGCAGACAAACTGTCCTCAGCTCTGCCTATCGCCTCTTCCAACCTTAGCATCCGTCGATTGGTAGGATCGACATCCGACTGGTTCACAAGACAGGGTAGAGTGAAGTCGAATGGCAGCGCATAATTCCTCATCATAAACAATCGGACGCGCTGAAGACTATCACGGTTCGCTAAAAACCGTGGAGCGAGAGCTTGCCAACCAACGAGATAACTAGAGCCTCGCAGTCAACCCGGTGAGTATTTGTGTGGAGTGGAAAACTGGCTAATTGAGTGTCACTTGGCTATGCTTCCTTCTTAATGTGGCCTCTATGGCACTTCTCATAGGTGGGATCCGAGCCGGGCGCGGCGGCATGCCTAGGGACGGCTCCTGCCTCGATAGCCAAATGCTGTCTTTTTACTCTGCCTTGTAACCGGACCCAGGTCGGGAGAGAGGAGAAAATGCGGTGGATTCAGCGCAAGTCTGATATCACTTTAAATCAATTTACGCGCAGGCTGCCATCTCCGCTCACACTGCTGTGGAGCACAGGGTGGACATTGTATAAATCGACGGCCGAACCATGGGAGGCATGCCCCGCCCTGGGTACCTCAAAGACCCGTGCTTGGAGTAAAGCTCGACCCTTCCCCAAGTTCTATTGGCTAGACTCATCATCTGATCTTACGTAAATTAAAATGGTGTAGAAACTGTTTTTGTCGTCCTAGCCACACGTATATCATTTTTTGTGGGGTCGTTTTGTTGTGTATCTTAAATGCCATCAAAACACCCTTAACTAAGCAGACTTAACATTACTGATAGAAGTGAACAAGCGAATTCCGGGAAACAATTCAGAAGAAGGCGCGATCACTAGAACAAATGCTGTATTAATTTGATGTTCCATATTCTCACTCGAGCCCATCATCAGAGACAGTTGCATATAAGGGTAGTGGAGAGACAGAGAATGCAGTATTTATAGTAAATAACCGCCGTGGAACCATGTGTGTACTATAAGTAGGAGTAGTGGAAACGCAGGGAATGCAGTCGCCGTCACACTCTACATGGAGTTGGGCTTGCACACAGGCCGGAGGCGACCATCAGGCGCCAGGTCACAAGGTCTCAATGTCGGATATGGCTGACTGATGAGGGCCAGCAAGCCAGAAATGGCTATTCTAGTCCTTGTCGGCAATCCTATCCTAGCAGTGAAACGGCACAAACATTCATTTACAGGCAGAGCACGACAGCCTATGGGTGTCTAGAAATCATGATCTAACTAGGGGGTCCCCGGAGTTAGATGAAGTTCATCTCCAAATAAATATTAACTCGTTTGGTTAAGGTGACCCACCGAGCAGACGTCAAGTAAAACTTTTGATTTACTGCGTGGTTCTGATGAAACGCCCAAATCCCGCAACCAGAGACTTTTGGCGATAGTGGAAGCGGTGGCCATGCAATTGACTAACTTGGTCATAAGCTCACGAATGGTTTTAAATCCATTATCTACGTCCACTCAAACAAGCCCGCAGGCATTTCAGCTCGCAGACAACCATTTTCCCCTGACACCCTGCTTCTGACCTCAGAATTAGACCACCAATCATCTCCTTTTTTAGCATGCCCAGAGCCCCTCAATCCCCCATCCCCTGTCATTGGTTCCTTTCATATTTCTCTAGTACGGATTTTATTTTGCACGTCATGAATCATGAATTCTCTAAATCCTTTTTTGTTGTCCTGACAACCTGAGTATCTACATGATAATCATTTCTAAATAACCTTCGCTCGTGGCCACCGCACCACAAAGGATAAAAAAGAGAGTATTTAATTTCACTGCAAGTTTCCGGGCGGTTCTGTGTCACAAAAGCATGGAACGGAATCTATATGAGTTAAAATATAAAGGGATGTATTAAACGAAAATGCTGGATTTTACGGCATAAGTTAAGGTCGGAGATGTGTGGTAAAAGGCACTACTTGCACTAAAAAGTAATCTGAAAATTCCAGGGAGCTCAAATCAGTGCAAGCCCTGTCTTCTCTTCGTGAACACTATATATATAGTCAATTTCCGATGCGATTTCAAACACATTGCTCCCTAAGAAAATAAAAACAAAGTAGAAGCAAATGCATTTGTTTAGAGTACCTACGAGTCTTTGAGGGGGGGAATTGATGTGGCTTATCCGTACTGAACCGCTATTATGAGTACTAATTTGTCATAAACATCAGAACACCCTTTAAATTAATTTCATATGTCAATTTATTTACGATTAATGTCTATGTCAGAGTAATTTCATGATGCCGCCGCGAATCAACTTCAGTTCGGACGTTTACTTGTATGGATCTTCAAAAAGGCATGTGTATCGCACGATCATTTGTGCGCCCTGCCGAGACAACTGACCTGTTTGTTCAAGTTTACCTAATAAACTCAGGCACCTTAAGGATGGGTAAAAGACCGCATCCCTTAGGCAGAAATAAGGCCACCGCATTGCATCTTGTACGCAAACGAGCATTGAAGATCCGTAAATTCTGCTTGGGATTATGTTACACTTTTGATGTTTCAGTATACGGCAAGGTAAACCCATCATTAAAAGCTGAAAAGTTTCAGGATACCATCTGTGATACAGATCCCGTCAAAGCGTCTAGGCAACGAAGGTGCGAAGTTCCTGCTTCGTAACTGGAGAAAGGAGGGTTTCTTTAAAAAATGCAGAACATTTAGTTATTAAACGCGTATTTTAGCTAATAACAGTAGTAAGTGTGGAGAGAGGAGTGAGCAAAGATTAAAAAAATTAGGAAAGATAATGCTGAATATAATCTTTTTTCTATTCATCCACCGTCTATTTTGTACTTAATACACTGGTAACTCGGCCGTTTATATTATTCTGACTAAAGCCGTTGTTAAACCCAGAGCCCAGTCAATGTCCATTAAAAGAACTTTTCTCACCTTCTGCCGCTTTCTTTTGATAATCGTGCAGTGTCCCCAATCGAATGCAGACTTTGGCTGTTCGTAGAAAATACATTTGTTCCAGGCCATAGGCAGAGAGGGCTGGCCGTTGTCTAAAAATCATAGTTAGGGTTGAGGCTTCGTTGTATCAAAAGGATTTTGGCAAAGGACGGAAGCGTAACCACGTAAAAATATGATATTCACCCATAATTTGTACAGTTGCCGTGCCCGAAAGCTTCCGTCCGATGTTATCATGTGTCTTTTTGCTGATGGAAAGCGTGAACAGTTTTAGGAAGTGCGTATTTCCGCAGAATGGTCCCAGGGGAGATCTATCCTTTTTTGGTCGCCTAACGCTCCGTCGCCGACTCATCTAAAATTAAATTACGAATATATAGTTTCCTTCGAGTGGAGGCTGACAATCAACATATTGCTAAGCACATAGAGAAGTCGGAATATCTTATTAAAATGTTAAGTGAAATTCTAGAATATGTTTCTGACTACAAAGGAGTACTTAAGTAGTACGGTAATGTTGACTATTGTACTGCATCATTCAAGATGTTTCAGTCACACTGGGATGCCTGCTTTTGATAAAAGCTCCTCCCGGCCATCTTTGAAAGCACACTCGGTAAAAAATGATGCCTAATATTTTAGCGATTTTTTTTCATTTGCTTTGGATACTCTTATAAGTTAAAATGCATCTTATCGGAAGCATGCACATAGACATGTTTTCTTCATATGCTTTTGTTTGAAAATCACATCTCTTTCAAATCTTATACCTGGATGAAGTGCATCTTTCGGCTTTAAAGATTTGTAATTTTGGAATTTTTTAAGCCGTGAAATGTTCAGTCATGCAGCATTGTCTCTGTCAGTTTATTAGCGACACTTATGAAATTTACAACATGGCTCACCTCCACTGCAAATTTGATGAACCCCGTATTATGCCTTTTTAATAGCGTACTGAATTGTGTGATTTATTTTACATGGAAAATATACAGAATTTGATTGAAAAACTGTGAGCGGAGACGCAAGTGTAGCTCGGGTTTAAGCTATTTGGAAATTGAAAAATCTTGTTAATCTAGGGCTACAATTTATTTAAGTGTAAAATCAGAATAAAAGTAACTTGTCCAAACGACTTCAGGAAAGGATATTTTTGAGCTCTTTTCCTATAAAATATGTGTGAATTTATAAGGCTGCGAAAATCAATGGGAAAATTGTACACTATTCAAATAGCCATTTCTACTGAATGTGGTTCTACCGGAGGGGGAAAATAATCTCAATCTAAAGCAGGTATCCCTGTATGGCTGAAGTATATTGGAACTTTGGTAAAGGATAGTCAGTATAACAACTCTATTAAGATAATACTTTATAACCAAGAATTCTTATCAACATTATAGTTAACATTTTTTGAGACAGGCCAGATATTGCATGAGTTTCTTCTGTGGATTTTCTACGCACGGTACGTCCCCTCATGATATTGCGCAGAAGAATTTCGAATCGCTTCGTGCGCTTACTAATTATGTACAGTGAAAATGTGGACATGTGCTTTGTGAGCGTTTTTAACAGACATCTATTGAGGCTTTTGAATGCTCAATTTATCAAATGGTCATCAAGCATTCATGTTAGTAGTTTTTAATCTTCCTGTCAGCATTGCGTTTCAGACAAAAAACTTACACATCTTCGTTTTGGCGTATTCAGGCCACAAATGCTTCACGTATCTCAAAGAGTCCTACGTTTTTCTTGCCTGGCCTAAGCCAACATTCTGGGACTGAAATGTCAGGGTAGTGGTTTCATAAGGCACCTGCCGAGTTATTTGTCCAATTGCATCAACAATCCCGTACAAAGGAACTCGCGCATGTATGTGACCTTGGTCTGCGGCACGTTACAACATCAGCAAACGTGGATTTTGCCTGAAAAATATCCGTTTTTTCTTTATTAGCACAGCTTCAAAGCGCGTTATGCCTGCAAACAGTTTTTTAAGCGTCAAATGAACATTCCGCCCAAACCCTGCATTTCATGATTTCCGGACAGAATAGGAAGCACGGTTAATTCCGTCCTTACTAACTGCCTTACTGCTGCCCCCGAAATGAATGAAACTCTGACATGATAAAGCTCCAATTGGCTTTTTTCATCACCGTCATATGAATAAGCGTTAAAGTATAATATGCAAAATACGGACAGGTCGGATAAAATATTTCAGTAACCAACATTTACACGCATCACCCACTGGTTCCTGGCAAGGAAGCCGTCCGGAAGAATCCGTACCTCTCGCCGAATGTTAAGGGAGGGGAGAAGGAGACGTAACGTCTGCGTTATCCACTCGAGAATGACCACTGTCCATCAGCTGGCGTAATCAGGTGCGGAAGACTAACACATTGCACATTGCTGTTCAAAAATTTGTACACCTCCGTTCGTAGAAGGAACCTGCAGAAAGCCACAGATAACATGCAGTATGACTCATCGACTGATGTCGCAGATGGACGGCGCGTCACAGTTAGACTGGATGAGCACTCTGGCACTCCTTGTGTCATTCTGTCCGTTAACTGCCCCTGCTGCTTCGACGGCTTGGTGCGTAAAAATTAAACATACATTTTAGAGAATGCAACAATCACCGTGGAACAGGCAGAACCATTACCATCTGCTTTTGTCTAGTATGGCAATAACGATGATATCTAGAGGCGAAGAAATGCACACTAAGTATAGGAATCCGTCTGTAAGTCTATCGATGTCCATTGTCGGTTTTCACCACTTCATCCGGTGAGATATAATCACATTATAACCGTCTATTATGCTACCAGGGCAAGGAAGACTTTTACTAAGAATCACCTCTGTTCAACGGATTCACACGCAGTCATTTCTGCTTGCGCCCATTTTCGAAGATTGGCCATTGAAAAACACCCAAAGTCTCGGAAACGCAAATGTTGCATTATAGTACCCGAATCCAACCATTTTAGTGTGATAGTAACATAAACAGAAAATGGTGCGAGGCCTGTGATCGCATAAGAGCCGGACGGAAAGAATGGGAAAAAGAGACATTTTAGGAATGTTAACGCTCAGCGGAACCACCCTTGCAACTCTACTCTGCTTTCACATCAAAATTCAGATCTGGATTTAGAACCCACGTATGAGGTCGCAAAACGATGAGGCTAACTGCACGGGAAGCATTTCCGACTAAAGACTGGGAAGGCAGTCAGGTATTTATACATCAGAACCAAGCGAGAAAATCGTGTCTGAACACGCGATCTACGATTATTGAGACAATGACTAAGTAATAAGTCACGGAATCGAACCCTATCTAACGCGATCACGGGTATACTTAGCCGCAGACCTGTGTCCTATACGGACATATCTAGGGATAGTTTATCTGGTGTCTTTTGTCCTTTGTCCAGAATGCTTTTCGATGTTTGCTTGCCGTTTGCCCTAAAAACATCCGACCGCGATTTACGCGGAAACTCCAGGGCGGAATAAATTGGAAACGAACACTTTCCGATCGCGAAATCTGCAAGACCAACTTCTGCTTAGAGTGCGATAACAAGGTCTTAATTCCATGCATAGAAGGCTGACGTTCTACCTTAGGAAGTAACTATGATGTCGGGTGCACCCTCCTAGACGAAGCCGGTCTCGTGCGGCAGCCTGTACCTGGCTTGCGAGATCATGTGTATGCACGCTCGACCAACCACGAGGTGACGCCTGTCACCGGGCTGGCCACGATGACTCATCGACGCAGTCCTGTAGCTTCCGGTAGCCAGTGGTTACTGCTGGGGTAGCCCGCGACGGAACACCCGTACAACCCTGCGTAGATTTCAAAGCATCCCAGCCGTTTACCTTTCCAATTTTCCTGATTTTGGACAAGAGAGTCAAATGGTAGAGCCCTGACTGTGGAAATACCCGACTTCGACCTCAAGTTCCTACGAAATTTGCCCATTACCTGGTGTTTTTTACGAATGATCCGTCCCTGACACTTATGTGAACACTCGAACTGCATGTTTTGCCTCTAATGGCCCTGCTAGTGAAGAGAGGTGCGTCCATTGTTCACCTGAATCGTTGACTTATTGAACGTGTGAGGCAATACAGGTGACTACATTTTGTGTGAAAATTGTAGTGAAATCTCCTGTTACGTCGTCATCTATGTAATCCCAGAAGGCTTGCCTCTGAAAGTCTATGGTTTTATTTATTTCATACTGAAACTCTATTAGTAGGTAGTATCGGGCAAAATATACAGAATCTATTTTGACCCGATTCTGGAAAATTCGGCGATCTCGGTGGAATACGAATTCAAGACAACAAGGGGGAGACTTGAGTACAGACAACACTTTAACCACCTGAGTTACGAGGCATCACCGCGGGCCGTGAACTTAATTTTTTGGGTCTAGTTGCTCGTCCAGCCTGCTGTAACGTACAGAATCCATTGAATCTGATGCAATAAGCTGACTGCGCAAAAACGGTTTCCTAAGTAATCAGTCTAGAGTCAGCGGGACGACAACCAGACTAACGTTAATAACAGGTGTTTTGACCGATTACAGATAGTTTATTTTGACCCTACTCTAAAAAACTTGGCGCCTCGGTGGGATCTTCTGGTAGTCATCTGGCATATTCTAGATTTATTACTTAGGAGATCCCACCTGGGCAGTCAGATTTGGTGGATCCCCTACGTTACAGCAGGCTGGGTGGGTAACTTAACCCAAGTGTGACTAAACTTACGACCCCCGGTGTGGCCCCGTTGCTTAGGTGGCTAGAGAGTTGTCTGTACTCTGGTCTTCCCTTTGCTCATTGCTGTTCGAATCCCACTGTCGTCGCCGAGATTTCCGCGGTTGGGTTAATAGGCATTATTCAAAATGCGCCAAAACAGCTATCAAAGTACAGATATTGGAAGGTAATTAAGTTATCGGTCACGTGGTGGGGTTAAAATTGCACTATATGTTATAGAAAGGTCTGTTTATGCCAGCGATTATTGTGTGCTAATGGTTCTGGTTTCTGTAGACTCCTGTATTCCCGCTGCAATCGGTGCAATATTATGTTCAAATTCTCCGCAGTACTACATGCGGACGGCATCCATCGGATAAACAGGGATCTCTTTACCCGGCAACTGCACAGGAGTTAACTGAGTTAACGTCCCTCTCGGAACCCCAGTGAACATATTGGTATTTTGGCTCAATGTTTAAGTCGGTGCGTTGTAAACCGATACAGTGGACTTAATGGGAGTAAAATAAT